AAAAAATTAATTTGTTTTTAAAATACTATCAACTTCAATTTTATTTTTTCACTCCTATCCCCTCTCCTCCCTCTCCCCCCGCCCCCACCGCACCCCCACCACCACCCAAAAAAATAATAATTTTGATTTTGAAAAATATTTTCAATGTCATAAATTATTTTTTATTCTAGTAAAAATACAAGATGTCTCTCAAAAACATTTATCATACATAAATCAAACACCAAAAAATATTTCTAGAAAATATTTTCTACTCATCAACCAAACATGAGAAAATAAGTCCAAAATCTGCTAGTTTTCCAGGAAAATATTTTTCGTGGAAAACGTTTTCCTTCATACCAAACACACCCTTATTATACTTTGGAAGTTGCATAAATTTTTAACTTAAAGATAAAATTGTAACTAATCTATGATAATAATTGATGTCTTAATATGTGCATCATTTTAAAGTGGACAACTAAACAGGGACAAAAAAGTATAATTTTATGATAAAAATACTCTGATGAATTGCTTTTGATATCTATCTCCACACTTAGTAATAGTGTGTCATGTACATGATAAGTCTGTAACTCACAAGTAATGGGTTCAAATTTATGTAACAATAAAAATCGATTAGTATTTAAGTTGAGAAAAATAAGAAAAGAGATTTATTATATTTCTTAGTAAGTAGAGAAATATAAGTATTTTACTAAACTATTTTTATTAAATGGTTTTTAGTATTAGTTTTTGAAAAATAATTTAGAGAATTAGTATTTAGTGTCGAGGGTAAAACATGAAAAAATCTATTTTAAAAATAGATGACAAAATGAATCAGAGGAAGATTAATACATATTAAATGTAGTTAGGGGCGGCTCGACGTGATTGGGGGTCTAAAACGAAATTTTAATTTGAGGCCTAAAATATAAACAAATTTTATATACTTATTCATTCAAAATTTATTTTTCTTACATTATTTAGATAAAAGTTATTAGTATTTTGATATTGTTTTTCAGTTATTAGTTTTACGTAAGATTTTATCAACTCAACATTGAAAAACATCCTTTCACTAAATACAATTATTATATGAATTGTTAACATAATTCTATAAGTAATAAATTGATAAATATTAAATGAAGATAATAGTTAGAACCATATAATTTGACACAAGAAGTTGATGACTTGATATATCGCATTTTAATATGTTTGTAGTAATGCTTGAAACAAAAATTTAAAAAGAAATAAAAAAGAATTTGTAACTCACTCTGTCAACACTTTTTACTATTAATTCTTATTTTTAACAAAGTACAAAAGAAGTTAAAGTGGGTAAAATAATATATATTTTAAAAAATTATACTTTTTATCATTTAATAATTATTTTTTTATATAAAAAATTTAACACAATTTATTCATTCTTGATAAAATTTGTGGCCGCCAAAATAAAAATCTTATTCTCAAAGGCATAGAGCCGGCATTGAATGGAGTTTTTAACACAATAATAGAGTTTATCGAACCACGGTTCAATCTCTAACTTCACCTTATAGATATTCATTATCTCCAAATCTCGAACTTTTCAACTGATTATATTTTAAGTAAAGAAGAACATCAAATAAAAAGGATTTACTCCAAGGGTCAAACATAGGTTTCCCAATTCCAAATCCTTCAACTTTCGATTGAATATTCGAGCTACCCTTACGAGAAAGCAAAGCCATCATATGATAAATTATAAACGATACTTTCAGAGACTCTTCCCGACCCACTCAAAACTAGTACATATAAGAGGAATTAGTCTAAATAAAACATATCATTGCGATAATCACAATGAATATAATTTACGCAATGTGAATTCTGTTCAATGCTCTCAGTAAGTAAAGTAAAAATTAAAAACAAAAATTATATATATATATATATATATATATATATATATATT